GGTATACACAAAGCAGGTTACATGTAGCTCCGGCCCAGTCGAAGGTCAAGGACAAGCTCGTAGCCACGCCAGCGAGCAGCAGCTGATTGCAGGACACTAACGAGTCATCGATGTAGACAACGATACCGTCACTTTGATTCAGATTGTTATAGCTTCTGAAAGTATTATAACCATGCATAAGATCACCCTGATGATTCAACCATGCTTCCGTTAGAATAATACAATTAAATCTACATTTAATACCTTGTAATAAAACTAGAAATTCGTCAATGTTTTTACCATAACTTCTTATGTTTTGGTGTAATATTTTAAAATCATATATAGCATTACAGTTGTTTGGTTTAAATTATAAGAGTTGAAACAATCAACGTTAGTAATTAAATTGCAATGTATGAAGGGGTTGGTTGCTTCGTCCATCAAAGCTAATTTATTTACTAAATTTAATGGGTTATTGCCGTCCGACTAGCTTAAATTGTGTATTTAGTGTCAAAACATCAGCGTTAAGAGGAATTTAAACAATCTGTGTTTAGAGCGACATATAAGAGAGTGTGCCATGAGACATTAATCATCAATTATAACATAGTAAAAAATGAGAATCGAAAAAGTATTCTATGAGCTAGATTATTAGCTAAAATTTAAAAATTCATTGTTGTTTATTGTCTAACTTAGCTTAGGCACTAAACAAACTTTGGTAAACGCAATCACATGATTATTACAATTAAGTGTAAAAGTTAATAGGTAAACGGTTCAAATAAGACATTACGGCAATAACAGCCTGTTTATGAATATGTACAAATGTTTCATACAACAGTTGATCTTTAGATTTTTAAATAAAATAATCGAAATAGATTAACACTTTTAATTAATTTACATTTCCTAACAGGAACTCATATAGCCTATTCTAAGTCATTTGACAAACACTTTTTATTTTTCTTTAAACCGTATATCATTCAATTAGTCACTTAAACGAGATTATTGAAGTCATAATAGCTGTAAATGATTAAATTAGGAAGTTTTCCAGTTACTCTCAGTTACCAATGACAAAGGGACAGGATGAATGGTCTAAGATGAACTGACACAATTAAAAATAGTAGATCAATTTGTAATTAATCCTACTACATCGTTGAGCAAATGCAATGTGTTTTATTAGACAACTAGTTATAATTTTACCATAGAAGATTATGTTTTTCTACTGCAATTTTTACGGTAAGAGATAGAAACGGTAAGAGATAGAAAGAAAACTTAAATACGTAAAATGTTTGTTTAAAAAGGACATTTCACATTATATTTAACTACCTGGCCCGACAGACGTCGTCCTGTCCTAATGTGGTTTTATGTCAAATGCTCGTTCATTTTCAAGATGAGCTCGTTCGCTGCGCTCACTTGCCTTCAGTTACATTTTTTTATCAGAATTTATTTTACAATCTGGTCAAACAAATATGAGAACAATAAGTAAAACATTTATCAAAACAATGTCAGGAAGCAAGCACCTGTTCATCAACAAGTCTTGCCAAAAATTGGATCAATCATAAATATTTACAGAAATCTGTAGCTTAGGTCCAGCACATGCATAACACTTTTTAATCTGGTAATGCACTGACTATTGTCCAGCAGATTAACAGCAAGACTGTTCGGATGATATTCTAATTAATTTTTCTTGATACTTTTTGCTAAGGTCTGTAATTTCTTCTTTCACTGATTTAATTTTGAATTCATTCCTAATTGTAGTGTTGGATACGAACCAAGGTGCGCCAATTCTTCTCAGCGTCTTAGCCTGAAATCGTTCAAGAATTTCGATGTTGGATTTGCTCGAGGTCCCCCAAAGTTGAATTCCGTATGTCCAAATTGGTTTGATCATAATTTTATACAGTAAAATTTTCTTAGCCAATGATAATTTTGAATTCGTACCTAGTTAGTAGCCAATTGAGTTTACAAATTTTTAATTCCATTTGCTGTCTCTTGCACCAGATATGAGATTACCAATTTAATTTTTTGTCAAGAGTTAGACCTAAATATTTTACACTGTCTGCCTCCGTTAAGGCTACATATTATTAATGGTTACTGGAGGATTGTACTCTGTTCTCAGAGTAAAAACAATATGTTTGGACTTGTTTTCGTTGACTTTTATCCTCCACTTTTTAAGCGAATATTGGAGCTCAGTCAAGGCTTATAAGAGTTATAACAATCAACGTTAGTAATTACATTGCAATGTATGAAGGGGGTGGTTGCTTCCAGAATTGCCTCCAAGGAACAACATGTAATATTGAACAACATAATGTAATATTTTATGTTACATTTGACAACAAATATTCGTAAAAAACAAATGGAATAGAAACCTATTTGATAGCTCTCATTTTTTATGCATAGATTTGTTTTTTAAAAGTTAGGTTATCATTACAACAGCTGTTTCCTTAATTCAATTTAATCAAGAAATGACAAACATGGCATAGTAAACAAAATAAAACATTCTTCCATAAGATTAACATGTAAACTGCAAAGGGCCTTAGGACGCTACCCTTAAGGGTTTTTGAAACGGAAACAGGCTATTATGTTATTCTAGTACCTAAGGAATATCCCTGTAAATTTTCATGCCAATTGGTCCAGTAGTTTTCTAGTTATAAACGCTGTAACTAACACAACTTTCTTTTATATATTTCTAGTTGGCCCGACAGACGTCGTCCTGTCCTAATGTGGTTTTATGTCAAATGTTCGTTCATTTTCAAGATGAGCATGTTCACATGGCTCAATCACGTCTTGGTTGAAGTTCGTTCGCTACGCTCACTCACCTTTTGGTTGCAAATTAGCTGTTGTCATAAATTGAAAAAAATAATAGTGCTGCACCCTGTTGGTAAACCTATTAATTTCTTAATGCTATTGAACATCATAGAATTAAATTCTTTAGTTGAACCAGCTGTTAAGAATCTTTAATTCCATTTAAATATGAGTACTCATAAGGTTAACGTGGGAAACTCCAGAGCCACTGGGGCGGAGCCCTTTTGACGGATCTACACCAAACTTCACACAAACCATCCTTGAATAATGCTTAATAATAACTGAAAGTTTCATTACAATCTGTCGATCGGTTTCGGAGTCCACAAAGGACAAACAAACATACATACATACAAACAAACATACATTGGATATTATATATATAGAAGATTTGTTATAGGCCTAGCTTGCTATTTAACAGTTTTGAGTTTTCAGCTTTCTTTTATTCTTCAAATTCGAGATTTTTTTATAATTAGAAAATAACATGGAAAATGCCCTTACTACAAGTTATCTTAAAGAGTAGCTCATGAATAAGATTGGAAAGAAATTTGGCGCTGTTCCGTTCAGTAGTTAGGGTATTACGGTAGTTAACTTCATAGTCCTTTTGTAAAACGTTTTGATCCACACCCTGTAAATACGGTTAAAGATAATTAAATTTGTTTGCACAAAAATGATCGGGGTGATTAGACCTTTAAATTGATGTATCACACAACCCATGTTTATATTTGAAAATTTCTCAAAAAGCACCCCTACCCCCCAAATTGGGCCCTTTTGGGGCATTTTTCAAAATTAAAAATTATTTTATTGGATTTTGCATGTCCAAATTAGGGGGAAATGAGAACAAACAAGTGTTAAACGCCTTACCTTTGCACACAAGAGATATGGAAAGTTTTCAAATGAACACCTGTATATTTCAAATAAATTTATGATTGAAAACACTTTAGATGGATACCATATTCATCCTCAAGCTAAGTTTGGCCTAGGTAGCAAGTTTTAACTAGGTACCTTCTTACACGAAAAAAAAACAGTATAACGAATCATAATACAAGTGTAACAAATGTCAAATTATTGTAAAGCCTTCAAACGGCAGAACACATATTATATACACAAGATAGTTGATATAGCATTGACAAATTTGAAGGAGACTGCAAGCGTCGTGAATAGAAGTCGTTCGGAGTTAAAAAAAGAACGACTCTCATTATACTCAACTGATCTGTTCAGCAAGAGCTGTTCACCTTCAATTTGAATCTCCCGCTCTTTTTCGATCTGTTTTGCTTGTCGACATTTTGCGTGTCGATAAAGTGGGAAAATTTACACAACCGTCCCACATAACAGACATCCCACATAACCGACATCCCACTTTACAGACATCCCATATTACCGACACTGTCGACATTTTGAGTTGTCGACAAAGTGGGACTATTTCAGTGTCGATCTTTTGGGATGTCGATAAACTGGGACCCCACGACCACACCCTGCTTTGACTTTCTCTTTCAGGGTCACTGCCCCCTCCAATTTCTCAAGGCCCCAGATACTTCCATGATTTCCGTCACTGCGACAAGAGTGCTGTTTTTGATAGTCTGCTCCAACTCAACTATCCTGATTTTGCCGATCACCAGAGCATTGAAGAATGAAGACGAATTAAAAAAAATCTGCAATTACCTGAAATCTCTGCAATCAAACAGTACACGCCCATGAGAAAAGTTTACAGTTGCTTCCTCAATGGTTTTCAAAACATCTTAGAAGTTTAGTAATTCAAAAGAAGATTCTGTATAAAAAATACAAGTCATCACTGTCCCAATACTACGTCAACTTTCAACTTTTATGAAGAATCTGTATTCAACTTCTCAGCCAATGCCTCTCTGAATATTATCTAAACAGCTAATTGCAACTAAACGGCCTATTTTATTTTCTGAAATATACAAATATTATAATAATTTTCCTGTGTAGTAAGACTAAGATGTAAAGTATCGTACATTACTCGACTAGCATGGTAAGCTGCCGCTCGATAAAACACCACTTACTAGGCTAGGGTTACCAAGGCCAACAAATTTAGTCTGTTTTGTACGTGTTATCATATTATAATCAATGGCTGCATCTAAAACAATTTCATTTTACTAAATGCTAAATCGTCTGTACAAAAAGTTTGTCTACGTTTTGATTTGATGGTTAGGTTTGGTTTAGGTTATTTAACTTAACTTTTTACGAGTCGATTCGTCGATTCGATTTCGATTAGTGATTACTGATTAGTGAAGTTGGAGGGACTTGGATGGGAGGGAGATAAAAGTAATAATAATTTTTACTATACCAAAAAGCTGAAAATATCGCCCGGTTTGGTTGGTTTTTTCATTCGTCTGTTCTTGTCATCATATAAAGCTTAATAAATAGTCTTGGTTATGTTTCGTTTCGGGTTTCGGTAAATGTGTCAGACAATCAGTGCTGTAGATCACTGAAAACTTCTCTGTTATTTTATCAGTGTTTCTAAGAAAAAACAACATAAGGTAAGTTAGGCCTGGGTAATATTGATGTTTTCAGAACAGTTTCACTTAGGCTATAGGACTAGCATTGAATATAGCCTATCTCAACTAAAAGCTAATCCCCTTTTATCGTCTCAGGATAAGTTAATGTAAATTAGCCTAGGCCTAGATGCATTTGGATATATTAAACATAAACATAGCTAATTTAAACCTGTCCCTAATAATAGGCTAGTAATTAGCTTTAGCTAATCGGGGTAGGCTATAAGATATAGGATGTGTGTTGAAAATCATATCACTAGGCCTACTTAACTTAGGAGGGGTTTATTTATTTAGCCTATTCGCTGAGGATATGCGTCCGGTAACCGGACGTGGGTCAGGTGTCCGGCAGTTAACTTACTGTCATAACCTAACCTAACCAACCAAACTTGCTGATAATGAAAAAATCGAATGAAGGTTAAATTCTGTTCATAAAATAAAATTATAAAAGAAGAAATGGCATTCAAAGCAAAATCTTTGACAAAAAGTTAAAGTTACAGATGGGATTCGAACTAGGGACCTCTTGCTTATAAGCCGAGCACTCTATCCACTACACCACGAACACGGATGGCTGTGCATTGTATCGTTGTGGTAATGGCGTTCCGAGGCCCCCGCAACCTGGTGCCGTCACTGCCGGACGCCTAATCCACGTCAGGTCACTGAACGTGTATCCTCTGTGTTAGTCTAATGTATTTATTTATTCCTAGGTCAAACGGCCATTATTATAATATTTGAGACGTAGGAATTGGCTAACTCAGGAACTCGCTAACTCGGTCGTGTGGCGGAACTGGCTAACTCGATTTTGTCTCGCGGCGGAATTCGCTAACTCTGCAAGTCGCTAACCAGGCCGCGCCCACTGCTCGGAGCGTTGCCAACCTTGTACGACAAAATAATCGTACACTGCCGTATTTCAAAATGTCAGTGTCTATAAAGATACAGTAAATGTTATTTTTTTTTTTATCAATTCCACTTTTAACACATAACTAGCCCAAAGTAATTAAAAGACAATTAAAAAATCATGAAAAATTGTTTCTTATTAAACTGTACGATGGCCAGTTAAATGTTTATGATTTCGATCTTAAATATAAATGCCATCAGTATAAAAGAAAATAATAGAATATGAAAAATATTCAAAATTTAGTTTAATTGGTAATAAATAATTAAACCTCTACGAAAATAAGCTAAATTACACGCAAGTTCTTAAACACGGAAAACAGATTTAATTGTAATGTCGTAATAAACCAAAACCATTAATTAATACAGTCATCAACCATCGTAACTTTCATAATTAATTCATAGATTTTAAATTAAATGTTCGTCGTTGAACCGTCCAACTTACGTGTACAAATATGATGACATCGACTAAGTTTTTATCTAGGCCTAATAGTTTGAACCAAAGCATTGTAGGCCTACTAGTAAATAGTTGCCTAATTCTAAAATGTGTTGAATTTTTTAGCAATAATGTTACATGTTTTAAAACAGTTTTTAGATTGTACACCTAAGCACCACTAGTAAAAACTAGGAGAAGATATAATATTCATATAATAAAACGTGACAGGGTTATTTTAATTCACGATTGTTAATAAACTAATTGACGGATTTTCCTGATTTGAGTGTTGGGTTTCCTTTATATTGCTTTCACAAACGAAATAAACTATACCAAGCCATTGCTCGGTTCACCGTTCCCCAGTACTGAGCTACACAATAGACAATAGCTTTGTTTTTGGATAAGATAGAATCAGCCTGGAAAAAACTCCAGACTTTTAAAAAGTAGGCCTACTGAAAGACGTAAAATTAATATTAATTCAACAAAATTAAGAGGATGACCCGGGTTCTACACTAATAGCCTACGATAAAAGAAATTTACAAGTTGTATTTATGCATAGACTGTGTTGAATTTTTTAGCAATAATGTTACATGTTTTAAAACAGTTTTTAGATTGTACACCTAAGCACCACTAGTAAAAACTAGGAGAAGATATAATATTCATATAATAAAACGTGACAGGGTTATTTTAATTCACGATTGTTAATAAACTAATTGACGGATTTTCCTGATTTGAATGTTGGGTTTCCTTTATATTGCTTTCACAAACGAAATAAACTATACCAAGCCATTGCTCGGTTCACCGTTCCCCAGTACTGAGCTACACAATAGACAATAGCTTTGTTTTTGGATAAGATAGAATCAGCCTGGAAAAAAACTCCAGACTTTTAAAAAGTAAGCCTACTGAAAGACGTAAAATTAATATTAATTCAACAAAATTAAGAGGATGACCCGGGTTCTACACTAATAGCCTACGATAAAAGAAATTTACAAGTTGTATTTATGCATAGACTAACTTTTAATGCAATCCATGAATACATTAGGCCTACCACTTTATAATGTATTGATAAATATTTATTTAAATTCAATAGCTCTATTTAAAAATACATAACCACTACAATGTAATTCTGTAATGACGTTTAACGTGTAAATTTTATTATGATTTATGATTTAAGGTTACTACAAGCCCAGTATATAAAATACGAACTCAAACATTTTATTTGCAGAAGTTCACAAAATGGTATTTATTCGAATAAAAGAAACAAATGGCGGACTACGAAAATAGATATTTCATAACATGTAATAGATTCAAATTAAATGTGCATTTTTATCTTTTTCATACCAATAAGCTACTATTTAAGTAAGAAACCCACATATAAAACATACTCCCTTATATTAGTACATTTCTCATCCTTATGGATGATCTGAAGACAGTTGTATTGTTAGTTCTGTCCGGTGTACTGTCTTTAGAGGTCGTGTTTTGTTTACAATTGTTTCTTGTTTTCAGTTATTTAAAACCTCGTTTAACCAAATAAAACGTTCTAATCACAACTAATAACACGTCCCCTAGTTATATAACCAAACAGTAAGGAACAAATCATGAAGTTAACTATAAAATAATAGAAACACAATTTTGTCGACACTAGCGATCAGTGTCACCGGACATGAACTAGACACGAAAAACGAGCTTCAAAGTTTACAATGGGATGTAAAGTTTACTTGTGTTGGTTAGTCTATGGTAAGACTATAATGCATTTTCCACCCTAATAATCATAAGAACTTCTCTGTGGTTAAACATACTTCTAAATATATTTATTTTATCGACTACGTTGCTCTTACTCCTAATTATTCGTAGGATACGACATTATGGTGCCGATACGATATAGGTACTACACTTTCGGCAACACTGGCCAAAAATATTCGTGCTTGGCTCCCATTGGACGGCCCGCGAGGCTTCTGATTGGGAGTTAGCGAGTTCCGCCGAGGGACCGAGTTAGCGACTTCCGTACGAGGACGGAATTCGCTAACCCGGCTCTAGAGCGGGTTAGCGGGTTCCGGAGTTAGCCAATTCCGAAACCGAACAAGTTAGCGAGTTCCTCTCATCGACCAAATTTGAAGATAGGGCATTTAACATGGGGTTAGCGAGTTCCAGAGTTAGCCAATTCCGCGGACCCTAATATTTACATGAAAGCAAGATGGTTTAATCAAGTACCGGTAGCCTATGAATAACAAGGATAGGATAGGACGTACTTAGGTCCAATATTATAATTTTTACAAAAAGACTTAAAATAGATATGGGTTAGCGGCATAGACTAAGCAACACAAGTAGACTCCTCATCCCATTGCAAATTTTGAAGCTTCCTTTTGGCGTCTAGTTCATGTACATCCACACTGATCCACTGATCGCTAGTGTAGACAACATTTTGTTTCTATTATTTTAGGGTTATTTTCATGATTTGTGCTTTACTATTTGGTTGTATAACTAGGAGACCAGTTATTGTTTATGATTACATTGTTTTATTAGGTTAAACGAGGTTTTAAATGACTGCAATAACAAGAAACAAATTGTAAACAAAACATAACCTCTATAGTTGGACGTACAGAACTACTTAACAATAAAATTGGCTTCAGCTGTTCCATTATGATGACTAATCTACTAAGGGAGTATGTTTTATCTATGGTACCGGTAAGCTTACAGTTTCTTAACTATGCTAATATCGATTGAAACGGCTGCACTTTAGTTTACGTCCTACATTTACTCACATAGTTTGGTTAATGGTAGGTTTAGTTTAGAACAGTTTCATTTTATAATCAGCTGGTAGCCTAGTTAATGTAGGCCTATAATGTAGCTTATATATAATCTAACAAAAAACCACTAAGTGGTAACACTTTCCCCGCCAAGTCAGCAATCCAAAAAAGTTAATAAATCATTACTTTTTCCGCCAAGAAAAACAATGTAATGTATGTAAGTTTGGCAACTTGGCGGCAGACTTTTGCTTGGTTTTTTTCATTTAAGTTACGTTCGTGGATAATTTCACAAATCAACTTCTCTAATTAATTAGTCCAACTAAGTATAATTTATGAAATGTGGCACAAATAAGGTCAAATTTTGTAAAATAAGCTCTCACCTAGCAATGTACCAATGGGAGGGATACTTGCTCAATGAAACTAGTTTTATGGTATTTTTTAAAGGGATCGAGCAAAAGTCTGCCGCCAAGTTGCCAAACTTACATACATTACATTGTTTTTCTTGGCGGAAAAAGTAATGATTTATTAACTTTTTTGGATTGCTGACTTGGCGGGGAAAGTGTTACCACTTAGTGGTTTTTTGTTAGATTTTATTTATTTTTGTAGAAAATTAACAGTTAAAATAAAAATCCTCTTTTCTCTGATATATAGACCACGGCACAACTACATCTCATTTAATTTCAATAATATTGTTAATGTAGAACTAAATTCTACATTTTTGGTCTTATCTGCTTTAAACAGATTAAAAACTTTTTGACACACGTACCAAAATTACTATTTAACAAACCCACTGGGCTTAAACTCAGTTTCAAATTTCATCAATGCTCATCTTGAACAACATAAAATGTGTTGATGTTACATAAGTGTTCTAATAATTAAACCCGTATATCTAAAGACTAGTGTAAATTGAGCCCTTATTAGAGATGCAAAAATGTAATCAAACTAATTAGGTTTGTTAGAAATAGCATAAGGCAAAACAAATATTGAATAACTCATTTATCCTAAATTTACATATCACTTTTTAATTGCTTGTTTAACATATGTAGAGTGATTTTCCCGATCGTTTTATTTGTTTTAGTGTATCAAAACATAGAACAAACCTTAGTACTAGCGTACTAGTACTAAGTTTCAAGTTCCTAGGTTTCATATGTTTTGATAAGTAGTATTAAACTGTTAAAAATGACGAGCTGCTGTACCAGTGAACCATCGGTACACTGCATTTTTCAATGGAAAGTATCGGGGAATATCACTGCTCTAAGTAATTTTATATAGTAAGTAGTTCAAATCATTCAGTATACCTGAAAAAAATACTTTATAAAAGTATTAAAATAATTTTTCAGCTGTTCCTATGAATTTCTCTAACATTTAATTAATTAAGATTTAATCGCAGCTGGTCCTTCTTTTGTTTTGATTTTAATCCCATGTTATTTAAATGGGCCAAACTCGTACTTTGAGGGCTTGCCAAGGGTTTATGGGTCAACGCACCGACTTGAGACCCTCAAAAGGCACATCTACACGCTAAGGGCTTTCAAACAACATAAAAAACATTAAAATTGAGCCAGTGGTTTGGGCTGTAGGTCCTTCAACATTTAAGGAGAAGAAGGAGAACACGGAAAATTTGTGAATTTTCAAACTAGTTTTTCTTGGCTCAAACACAACCGTTTTTTAAATTCTTTTTTTTTATTTTGTTGAGAATGATTGCCCCTATCCAGTAGATGAACAATTATTTTAATAGCTTTTGTTTCTTCAGAGCTATAGACGAGTAAAAAAGCCACTTTGTCACGTCATGTATATATACACTGCAGCAGCTGTGTACCGCTGGGGGACTTGGCGGGGCGGAACGCTGCCGCGTTCCTTAATACAAATGTAGGACGTAAACTAAAGTGCTAAGTTACCATTGAAACTATCGAATTGAAAATATTGATTAATAGGCTTACTCGATATTTTAAAATATTATTATAAAATGAAACTTTCATTAAGTAATTAACTTATTGTGACTAAGTTAGGGTGACCAAGAGTACCATAGTAATTTATATCATTAGAAACTATACTTAGGTCGGCTGGTTAGAAAGCGTCCTCCTCGTAGCATTGGTGCGAGAGAGAGATACCAAGCCGGTGGGAGTGAGACAGACTATGGCTCTTCCCCCACTCTGCTGCCGCCCTACCGCATATTAACAGCAATTAAGCTATAGGCCTACAGCTGATTAAAATGTAAACAATTACGTTCTTCATAACTTGAGAAAAATAGGTCCTACAAAAAATATTGTAGGCTATAACCTAAATCGCATCAATATTTGAGCATCATGAAATGTTATTATGTCATTATGTAAGAAGTTCCATTTGGTAACACAGGATTCCAACTCCAACGACACCGGGGCGGCGCCGTGTCGGTGTCATGCCGGTGTCGTGTCGTGCAGTGTGAAAACGGCCATTGGCGGAGAGGGGGAACATACCCTCCCTCGCCATTACCTCCCCTACATGCGCTAAGAATTTCGCGCAGGTCGTTTTCTAAGTGGCCGACCTATAGATTTTTACCAGAAAACAATGGTGCAAAAGTTTTTCTGCTGTCATAAAGACTGAATAAACTACGATCGTTTTAATTTAATTTAAATGTTGTATTAGGAACGTTGAATCTGCAATTCAATGTTTACACTGTAAAATCGAAGTTAATAGTCCAAGTCACATTTATTGATTGATTATAAACTTAAGTTAGCCTATGCCATTTTAATGTAAACCATCACAACCCACTCTTAGACAGGTATTTCAATAACTTATGTTAATTTAAGTAAATCAAAAACACATAGTGTTTTTAGCAAAACAGTCTGGAGATAATATAAATCAACAACTCGATTCATTATAACCTAAACTATAGCTTCCTAATCTAACCTAACTTCAAAACACTTAGTAATATAGTGACTAATCTGCATTAACACCCAAACTACCTACCTACCTCACATTTCTAAATAAGAACTGAAGTAGTTCATAATCAACATTCAGTTGCATTTACAAATTCCTCTACCTCTTTAAGTCCTCTTTGTATAAACTTAATGTTTGTCAGCTTAGGTTTCTTTTTCTTCCCTAGACGATCCTTTCAATCATTCATGTTTGTGTCAGTCAATTCACGGCGACAGAGACCAGCAGACAAAAGGCATTACAGTAATAAAATTCAAACGATCGTAGTTTATTCAGTTTTTGTGACAGCAGACAAATCTCTGCACCATTGTTTACAGGTAAAAATCTAGTTTCTAATGATACCTATATAAATTACTATGGTACTCTTGGTCACCCTAGTTGCAAAAATTTTCACCTAACCTAACTAACCAATCTTGCTGATAGTGAAAAAATCGCATGAAAGTTAACTAATCAAATCGATAGGCTAGTTTCAATCGATAAATATTAACATAGCCCAGTTATGAAACTGTACCTGAGATATTATTTCAAATTACATTGATTGGTATATTCTGGCTCATTACTATGATACAGTATACATGAACAAGCAAAATAAATACTGTAGTTACAAACTAGCATATTACAAGAGACATTTATACGCTGAATCATTTCAAATAAACCACTTGGTTGGATGTAAAATTCAGTTCACAACCAAATTACTCATCCTGCCGGTCTTACCCCATCATTGATTTTAGGGTAGGCCTAGTATTTCTTGTAAGTTAAGTGCCATGCTTTACAATTCAGTTATAAGTAGGCACTAAGTTTCATCCATCAAATTAGGCTTAATGGTTTCTACTATTCTTAAGCCTACCAAGGTAGCTCAAACATCACTTGTCTAATCAATTTGGGCCCCACTTACACTTAGGCTTGAATAACAATTAAAATTTTGTTAGTTTTTAGAGAGCTGAACCTAGTTTTAACTCTTTATCAGTAATTTTGCCCCTATTTAATATTTGTGAATTTAAACAATTAATTGGCGTAGAATTTTTAAACTAAAATTTAAGTCATCAACTTAGGCTAATCAAGTAGGCCTGTGTTTGTCTCTATAAAGCTAATTTAATGACTATAAATGTTTAGGAATCATGTCAGATGCAGAGGATTATGACAGTGAGGCAGGCAGCGAAGCTGGTAGCGGAAGTTACCAGGGTAGTGAACCGGGGAGTCCAAGAGGAAGTGAGCCAGGCAGTCCTCAGGCCAGTGAGCCCGGTAGTCCCCGAGGTAGTGTACGAGGCAGTGGTCGAGGTAGTGACTCTGAACCGGAGGCACGCAGTCGTAGTGTGAGTCCTAGTCGAAGTCGCAGCCGCAGCAGGAGTGTTAGCCGATCACGTAGCAGGTCCCGAAGTCGCAGTCGAAGCCCTAGTGGATCTGAGGCCGAAGAAGCTGAGAGGTAAGCTACTAACTTAATTTTTTTTTTCTTTAGTTGGCTGAAGTACACTGCAAATTGTTGGTTAATAATTGCTTCTTCTTTTCCTAGGGGGAAACTTTAAACAAACATCAATAATTGCATCATTTTTAGTTGTTTTTGTATTTGGAAATTTTGTTTTCAAAATTGATCATTTTATTAGAAATTTGTGTCTAGCCTAATGGTGGTATGTCTTTAATTCACCTATAACTTTAGTAGACCTTATGAAATCATTGGTCTAGGCCCTAAGTTCAAACATTTAAAAAACTGTTCTAGGCCTACTACAAGACACATAAACTTAAGTTAAATACGGGTCAAGCCATAAGAAGATCCAGAAAAAAGGTACTAAAGCAAGATGAATTTCAATTTTTTGTAGGGCCTATGTAAAATCTTCTTTCAAATTCTAGCTCTTAAAAAAGAGGATTATTATTGTTTTGCTCTGCAGGCTAATTGTTTAGTCATTAGTGTAAAACGTCCTAATGTTTATATCAAAACTTCTTAACACGTTCGCTGCTGACCGCTAGATGCCGGGACGGCGCCAGGAGCTGAACTAATGCTCGCTGCTGCGTAACATTGCCGCTGATACACTGAATTACAGTAAAAACAACAGTAGTTTTACTATATGGCAATGTTCTGCAATAAAACTGGCTTTGTACATAGTACTAAGTGGTTCTGATAGAAAGCAGCACTACACAGGTTGCAGTCAGTAAAGTAGTGTTGCTATCTAGCAGGAAAGAGGTGGGAAAAAGCCCTGTTCTAAATGACGCTGGTGGTCTAAAACCATATTTTTTATTGTCAAAAAAGTACGTCCCCACGAGCTGCAAAGAAATATAGGACGCTCGTGACGAGCTGGCTGATCCATGGAAACGTTAAACAACAATGAATGGTGACGTTCTGGAACGTTCCTAGCTCCTGGTGGCACGATTTTTATTTCAGCTGCAGTTTTTTAATATGGACAAAATGAGAGTTTAAAAATTAGAAATAAAAAAGGGAAAATAAATAAAAATTTTAAAATTTAAAATTAATTTTTTAATTATAAAATAAAAATGTTATAACCTAACCTAACTAACCAAACTTGCTGATAATGAAAAAATTGAATGAAGGTTTACTTATCAAAAAAATAGTTCTGTTCATAAAATAAATCTATAAATGCTTCAAATTCAATTTAAATTTTTTTTTATTATAAGATTAAACTGTTATAACCTAACCAAACTAACCAAACTTGCTGATAATGCAAAAATCTTTGATAAAAAGTTAATGCCACCGAGAGGTTTCGAACCTGGTACCTTTGGCTTCTCAGCCCAGCACGTTATCCATTAGACCACCGAGGCCGATGGCAAACTAGCCGTATCGTTGCAGTAATGGTGGTCCCTCAGCCAATAGAATACTCCGATTTTGACAGTATTAAAAATACTGCAGCTGAAATAAAAATTCAGCCTCCTGGTGCTGTAGCCCAGCTGACGTTCTGGAACATCCGTAGCAGCAAACGTGTTAATCCCAAAGTAAAAATACTTTTTGTCTTATTGTATTCCAACAGAAATTCTATGTTGATGTACAGTTTGTTTACAAACATTATATCAATATTTGTAGGCCTGATATTTTTAAAAGAAAATTCCTGTCCAACCTTTAGTTTAAGTCTTTTGAACTGATAAGTGATAAAAGACTAACTTAGGCCTATTAATTACAAATAAAATAAATAGGCCTACCAGTAAGTTTATAGCAAAGTGCATGATCCGACTTGAATAAATTTAACTTTTTAGGCAAAAAATTTGGATAAAGAATTGGGTTCACCCTTATTTGAGCAAGATTGATAGTTCTAGGCTGTTTGCAGCAGCTAGCGAGCTGTCACAGTCAGATAGGAAATTCAAATATTTTTACAGAATGACAAAGACGCCTTTTTTGAACACCCCGTGGTCTCATGCAACTGAAGTCTGCAACGCAACTGCAACCTCGGGCCCACGGTTGTATGTGACTGGTTTCAAACGTTTTTTGAGATCACCAACAACCAGTTGCATCGTGTGCAATTTCCCTTTAAATCCCCACTGCAATACATTGCGGATGTCACAAAACAGTTGTACGCGCAACTGGTTTGCAACGACAGTTGTAGAACAGTCACACTGTGTGCGCTGGGCCTTATTGTTTGCTTGTTATTGAGATGTGTGGCCAAACTTTATTAGTTATTAATATTTTACTAAAACACACTTTATTACCTTGCCAGTAACAGCAGACCTAGGTTACTTACTCGATAAACTTAATGTTATTTGTGAAAATCAAATTAGGCAAATGGAAATGTGCTTTAGACTGCAGGTTTGCTGTAGCGCTGGTATTTTCAAAATTTGTGGCTTTGTAACACTAATGGGGTCAAATACCTAAAATCTCTGTTTTGCTTACACAATTTATCTATATGATGGTAGCCTAAGTCACGGTAAAAGTGTTTCAATCTTGGTATTTCATCCTCCAAGTTTGTCAATTTCTTTTTAAGGTCTAATCAAAATATGCAATGATTGGTAGATTCTGTATGTCGTTGACTTAGAATCATTCGATCGCTCTAGAATGAATGAAGTCTTTATTTTGTCTTTAGGGGAATCCTAATATCGTCTGAAAGTTTTCAGTAAAGGCCACAGTTATTGTTAACATTATGTTATTCTTAACACAATTAAGTTATTGTTTTATAGCTTGTTTTACCAACATTTTTCCCTCACGTGAAACAAACTTGTTACAGGAAAGGATCAGGAAGTGAGGTTGAAGATGAGGAGGAGCCTGAAGGAGAAGATCTCAACTCGGAGGATGTAAGATTTAAATTTGGTGTATTATTGATTATTTAAAAGTGTTAAACTGTAGAATAATTACAAAGGAGATTACAAGTCTTAACTATGTATCCTGTTACATAGGATAGCCCAAGAGTAGATTGGTACTTGTTTTTATTTATTTAATTTTATTTCAACATTGCTAAGTTCCAAAAAATAATTGCAGTATATTTATAAACAGTAAAGTGATAGTATTCTGGAAAAAGTAACTGTATCTCAATCAATACACACAAATCAGCAATAATTTTCTTGTTGTTAAAAATTAAATTCAACAACCTTTGTTTCTATTTTTTCTATCTCCATCCAGAGCCCAAGCCTGTTGGTCTGTAAAGGATACTGTAATTTTATATTTTTTGGTACTTGGCAGTGATAAAATAGAATAAGGAAATCAAATCTACTACCAATCTACTCTTAGGCTAAGTGAATTAAAACTAAAATACAAGCGATTACTTGTAAGTTAGTTTTAATCTAACAATAGGGTTTACATACCTGGTTAAGTGATTACAGAAGAGCACAGGATTCCTGTCCTGGAGGCTTAGATTCAAATAATTCCAAACACTAATGGCTTTAAGCCACATTATAATGCTGTGACCCAGTAATGGAGCTCACCCTTAAGCTGTTGGTCCACCTATCTGGAAAAGAAAGGGAATGTTTCTCAGGCAAAAAAGACTTTTCTTTTGGAGAACTCCCCTCAACTAACAGCCATACAATAATCAATTATTTTAATCTTGCTATAAAATTATCTGGGTAGCCGAGTGGTTAAAATAGTGCTCGCCTTCAATGATATGAAATTTGCTGGTTCGATTCCAAGCGAGATTGTTCCCAGACCCAGATTCCATCCGTCATTGGGCTATGAATTAATGATGCTATGTAACAAAAAGGTTGACGTTAGATAGTTACAAGACCAGGGTTTGGACCGTTCCCTTTCAAAACGATAAAAATGCCATTGGCATAAAAACACACAAAAAAGTCTCAACATCTTTCTATATACAGTATAGCCTAACCTTGACTACAAAACCTTGACGATCTTTTACTTTTTTTCTAACAACATTCTTTTCTTTTATTGGACATGGGAATAAAACTGTTATTTAATTCATGTGTGGTTAATTTTTTTTTCATTGTAAAATCTTTTGGATACCTTTGTAGAGCCAATATTTTAACTATGTTTTTAGCCTTTTTTATATAATTTATTTTCAGAGTAACAAAATAATTACTTCAGAGTAACCTATAAAAACGTTTTATATAGGTTTAGTTAGGCCTATATAAAAAAGTTATAAATAAAAGTGTAATAGTGTAATATTGCTACTTTTTCTCATAGGAATATGATGAAGAAGAAGACGAAGATGACGACAGACCACACAAAAAAAAGAAGAAGAATGACAGATTTGGTGGTTTTATCATTGACGAGGCTGAAGTCGACGATGAGGTAAGTTTTTTGTTATTGATTTTGTAACAATCAAAACTCGTTTTTCCTCATTACAGTTTTGGCAAGAAATTATTCAAAATTTTGAATTGCTAGCCCCCAAGGACTACAATTCCCCAATTAATTATATGAATAAATTATGGTTGACACCATCAACCATAGTTCATAGATCATAGTTAATTTTTGTTTGATCGACATTTTCAAGATTCATGATTAATTTTCCATTATTCAGTCAGTTTTATTTAGCCAGTGACAGTGGTAAGACAGTTCTGGCCAGCCTTTACAGTTTTAACCAGTTTTATCACTTTTTATTCATTTTAATCATTTGATCAACATGACTAGTGTTGACGATTGTGATGTTGACAGTATTTTAAAGAATCTGTTGACATACCACAATGTATTAATACATTGATGATTTGGTTGCATACAATGACCTGAAACTAGTTGTCATACCAGCAACTGTGGTTGGTTAAGGTCCTTTATATTATCAATGACATTTTCATTCTTTTGTTAACTTTTTTGAGTTGCAAAATTAACTTATCACAATATATTTAATATATGTTTAAAACTATACATAATATAGACTGTTCCCTTTCAAAACTAAAAAAAATGACACAAATGAAAAATGAAAAATGAACATTGGTGTAGAAAACACTAGATGAAATAGAATAAAATACCGGAAAAAATCCACTAGGATTTACTAAAAATGTTTTATTATTCCAATCTTAATGTTACTTAGTGTGACTTGGTACTCACTTTTTACTTGTAGCCTGAAGATGACGACGAGTGGGAAGAAGGAGCGCAGGAGATCGGCATTGTTGCCAATGAGATGGAGGAGCTTGGACCAACGGCTCGGGAGATAGAGGGACGTAGAAGAGGAAATACCTTGTGGGAGTGAGTATAAGCTAGGAAAGTGTAGTAACACAAATGTCAAATCTCCAAGCCACTAAATTTTAAAGCTTGACGTTACTGCGATTATGGCATAAACAGTTTTAAAATAAACAAAGTTTATGAAGTGATTCAAAATAAAGTAAATAATTAATATACTGTAATCGATTGCCAAAGTAAATTCTACATATTGTTTTAATAATTTGTATTGAGATTCAAATGTTTAGATTTAACCGCGATAACAGTTTACCACCATCATGATATGAAATATAACCATTATATGACTCTCATTTTGAATTTGGCTAACTTTTTGTGATACCTTAGATTTTAAATACAGGCCTAATATGACTTGCAAATATCAAATTAATGACTTAGAACTTCATGGTTTAGAACTTAGAGTAAATAAGTTTGTGTTACAATTACAATGAGACGCCACATAAAACCTAAACCACATAAAAATGAGTCAAAAGTAATATTTTAGGTGCATTTTATATTATCACTGTAGAAACATAGAACCATCAGCATGCTTAACAAGTTTTGTTTCTTTTGCAGTTCCCAGAAAGAAGATGAGATCGAAGAGTACCTACGCAAGAAGTACGCAGACGAGTCACAAGCAGCGAGACATTTTGGAGATGGTGGCGAAGATATGTCTGATGAAATCACACAACAAACTCTATTGCCTGGCGTCAAGTAAGGAACCTTCAACTTGATATGTTTAGTTTGTCATACCTGCGTGTCATAAACTGAGGGTTGTATTTTTGGAAATCCCAGGCACTCCTATAACAGAAATAGTATTTTTAGCAATTTGTAATCATAAGACAACTTTTAACCACTTATAACTGTTCCTTTTTCCGATTTTAGTAAATTGACTGTCCTATTAGAGCATTTTCACTGCAAATTACTTTATTAAGTACGCTTATTTTTTATGTACTCAGCCTATCCACTATGTTGAAGTTAACTGTAATGTTTTATATTGCCAATTGTGATTTTTTTTTACTAGTCGGGTATTTTACCATACAATGTGCTTCAACTACCTTACTAACTGAAACCTGTGCCATTCATGAGTTCTGCATTAATTTTAGTTTATTCCATTAGGTAGGTTATCTATTATTAATTCCGTGTCAGTCAAATGTTAAAACAAAATTTGGAAGCTGACTGGATTCCCAAAAAAGAATATTTTCACAGTATAAGAATAAGAAATATTTTTTTCCATTGATCTTTATAAAAGAAAGGCACACGTCATTTGTTATACATAGTTACAAGGTGATTCAGTGTTTACAGTACAATATATCTAAAATTTAAATAACCACTTACATGAAAATAATAGCGTTATTTCAACTTACTCTTCAAAATCATACAAATTATTTATTTCACAACTTAAATTATCATCAATTCTGTAAAAAGGACTTTTAACAATCCAGCCATACAGTTTTTTTTTTTTTTAATACTGTAAGATACTAATTTTGCTTCTTCAGGCAGCTTACTAAAAAGCTTTATACAATTTTATTTATATACGAATGTTCGGTTTTTGCCAATCTGTGCTGCAATGAATCTATTTTATACCTACCTGTATTATAGTGTATAGTGGTTGTGTATGTCTTTTCTGAAAGAGAATCACTTCTAAGTTTGATTTAGTTTTTGTTAGAATTTGGAATATATAAATATTTACTATGGTTGGTATCCTGAAATTAATGAAAAGAGGTTTACATTGTGTAGCTGAGCATTCTCCAGTAATGCTTCGAACCACCTTTTTTTTGGAGTTAAAGGATGTCATTAATATGTGGAGAGTGGCTCCACAAAATTAGCATGTGTGGTTGAAAGAGCCCAAAATAGAATAATCTTAAATATTTTTACCAACAAAATCTTTAAGTTTCCACAGCAAGCACCTTGCTCTTGAAATTTTGTTACAAACAGATTGTATGTGAGATGACCAATTTAATTTTGAATCCAAGTTAAATCCTTAAAGTTTAGCTGATTCATATTTTATCTCTGTTTTGAGACTGAATATTATATATTCATATTATATATTGTGTGTGATTTATCAGAAATACAAGTTAGTCTGGAGAAAACCAATCATATGCTCTCAGTTCAGCCTCTTGACTATTTAAGCACAGGGTTGTTAAATTATAGAATACTAGCTGTAACCCGCGGGCTTTGCCCCGTTTAACTTCTTAATTTTCAAGATTATCTCGTTCGCATGGCTCAATAACGTCCTGGTTGAAGTTTGTTCGCTACGCTCACTCACCTTTAGGTTGGAGCTCGTTCGCTACGCTCACTCACCTTTAGGTTGGAGCTCGTTCGCTACGCTCACTCACCTTTAGGTTGGAGCTCGTTCGCTGCGCTCACTTGCCTTCAGGTTAGCTTGTTCGCTACGCTAACTCGCCTCCAGGTTGAAGTTCGTTCGCTACGCTCACTCACCTTTTGGTTGCAAATTAGCTGTTGTCATAAATGTAAAAGAAATAATAGTGCTGCACCCTGTTGGTAATCCTTGTAACTTTAATGCTATTGAACATCATAGAACAGAACCAACTTGTTTAATTGAAACAGCTGTTAAGATTCAATAATTCCATTTCTCATAAGGTTAACATGGGAAACTCCAGAGCCACTGGGGCGGAGCCCGAAAGGATTTTTGAAATAAGAATATGCCTATATGTTAATCGGGAATGTGAGCTATCATCATGCCAAATTTCAGCCCAATCCGACCAGTATTTTTCGAGTTAACTTTTCCCATACACACATACACACATACAGCAACCACCTCTTTTTTATAATAGTATAGATAGATAGATGATTGTTAGTTTTAATTCAAAATTAAAGATCCTTAAAGCTCCAACATGTTAAGCTGATTTTATTTATTTTTTTTTTTTGAACGGATGACTTGAGAATGCAAGATGTATTTGAAACGTTAAGTAACTGATTAGGTGTTACTTTTTTAAAAGGAGCTCAAATGTGATATTTTATTGTGTATCTTGTAGCTCTTGGTCTCTAATGTTCTCAGTTAGGTTTGCTAAACTAATTACCAACATTTTGGAATCTTCATGTTGGCTAATGCTAAAATCCCAATAACTTTCCAGAGATCCAAATCTGTGGATGGTCCGATGCCGTATCGGAGAGGAGAAGAACACAGCGCTGTTGCTGATGCGGAAGTTCATCACGTACCAGAACACGGAGGATCCACTGCAGATCAAGAGTGTGGTGGCACCTGAGGGTGTCAAGGGATACATCTACATAGAGTCTTACAAGCAACCCCATGTCAAACAGGCCATAGAGAATGTAGGAAACCTGCGCATGGGCATCTGGAAACAACAGGTGATTTAGACTATTGACTTTGTTGTTGAAGTTAAGGCTTGTGACTAAATCATTTTAAAAATCAATGAAAGAGTGTTGACTCTCTAGTGATTGTTGGTTGGAATAAGTACTGTGCGTTTTGTTTGATTTTTGTCAAATGAACTTTTTATGACTTTTAAAGCACTTAATTGATGTGAAATAGTTAGACATTATTAAATTTAAGACATGTATTATACTTTATTATATCTAGACTCATGAAATACAGCTTTACAAGAGATTTACTTACCTAAATCTTACAATAACCTTGCTCAATAGTCATGGTGTACATAATAAGACTGTATAGATTATATTGTTCTTCAGCTTATTGGTTTGAATTAAGTATTATTTTAGTTAATATGACGTTTTTACCAAGTATTCCAACAGTGTTGGATTATCAAGAGTCAAGTGCAAATGTAGGAGGCCATTATGGAATATTAAACTCTCCTTGCAAGCAGTATTAAGTGGTGAAAAGTAACATTTTTGCTGTACGTGATTCATTGCTAATGTTGTTGTTTGTTGTGTAGATGGTGCCCATCAAGGAAATGACTGATGTACTACGAGTGGTCAAGGTGCAGACTGGACTGAGACCCAAGCAATGGGTCCGACTCAAACGTGGTAGGCACTTCTGTTCTCGGGTTTAAAGTGAACACAATAATCTCTCAGATGATTTTTACTTGAGTTTTCACGCTAACGGGTCACACATTTAAATGGATGGGGGTTTTTGCCTCTGGGAAATCAAAACAAAAAATTAAAGCAGTCCCAGGTTTAGGTCTTTTAATGAAACCTACAGTAATAGCTTATTCTGTATTGTTATATAATTTGTGTTTTTCACTTATTAAAAGTAAATTTTAGATTTTCATAGTCCACAACTCTATACATGTATATGTTGTTTGTATATTTGTTGTTCCTGTTCTGGGGGAAGAGTGGACCTTTGGTCTAACTCAGGGCAGGTTAAATAAAGAATTTGTCATTTGTCATTCCGGACATGGGAAATTGTCTAAGAAGGCTCAGCCATCCATGCTGTAATAAAAATTGTAGATGTTTGTTCTTACTTCACAGAAAAGGCAAATATTAAAAGAGTAGACTTAACAACTACACCAAATTGTATATAAAATGTAAATATCATTTTACTATTGATTTGAATAAGGACTACAGGGTTAGTCTCTTTTGTCGTCAGGTCTGTACAAGGATGACATCGCCCAAGTGGACTACGTAGACCTCGCTCAGAACCAGGTCCATCTCAAGCTGCTGCCCAGAGTTGACTACACCAGGCCTCGAGGTGCTCTGCGCAACAACCAGGTAAAGCAATGTTTTTGCTGTAGGCATGATCCACACAACACACTGTAGAAACATCGGATGTAAGTTTTTTTGGTCGGTCACAAAAAAAAAAACAGTACAGGCTGAAAATGTAAGACACTTTGTCTGTTAAAATTTAGTAGTAGTACTCGTCAGTTGCCGTTTTGTATATTTTTTTACTAAAATGAAAAAAATCCCAGACTCAAAGATAACAAATCTATTTACGAGTCTTTTTAAATCCATTGATGAATAAAACAGTGTACATTAACAACTGTTGTCTTTGAATCTAATGTTTGTGTTGTACCCAAGTTTTCTTTTTTATTTGCAAAAGCACACAATTATACGGGTTTAAATATTGTAGACGGAGAGTGAGGCTAATAAGAGGAAGAAGAAAAGGCGTCCGCCAGCCAAACCATTTGACCCAGAGGCTATCAGAGCTATTGGAGGAGAAGTGACGAGTGACGGAGATTTCCTCATCTTTGAGGGCAACCGCTACAACCGCAAGGGCTTCCTATACAAGAACTTCACCATGAGTGCCATCATAGCCGATGGTAAGATTGCAAAACATTCACGACTAACTAGCAAAAGAAAGGTCTTCCAGACAATTGAGAGAACACAAAGAGTTCATAACACTTGTTGTTGCTAAGTTTTTTGTGTTGTCAACTGCCTGGAACTCTTTTCTTCGACAAGTTGTGGAACCATTCCTTTCTCTTCAATGTATTTCAAAGGCAAGTGCTCTTTCCCCGAAAAACCATATAACATTTATTTTCAAGTTTTAATGACTCCTCACCCTGCTATCTACTAAAGTTGAATTCTGAAATTTTTACATATTGTAAGTGTTCCTATAATTTCATTAAACATACATTATGATGTTATTGTGATTCTGCATTTAGTCAAATACTTGTTTCTTTCTTACCTATAATGGAATTTAAAATATTGACGATACAGAGATTAAAATGACCAGCAGTGCTCTTGAGCCAACTTTTATAAGTATAGTATTTAACATAATTCTAGCCTTAGTCAACAAATTTGCTTTTAAATTTCTTGCCTTTTGATACAAAAGTTGCTAGTTGCAAATACTTGTAAGAAAGATATTCAGCGTATTTTGGTCATCTAATCTCTTATCATTTAATCCATTAAACTTCTACGACGCATACACACTGTTGAACTTTAGCATCATCTTTAACATCTTAGTTACTGACTTGGCTGTTTCTTTAGCAAGGACCATTTATTAAAACCAAAATCATCAAGACATTGAACACTCCTGTAGGTCCTTTACTCATTTCACACCTCTCTGGCCCTTCTCCACTCTAATGGGTTGGTGTCAAAGTAAACCTAATCAGACAAGTTCAACAGTCAATGCAACTATTCACTTTTGCAGGTGTAAAGCCAACACTCTCAGAGCTGGAGAAGTTCGAGGAGGCTCCAGAAGGTATTGACATAGAGTTGCCCACGGGTGGGAAAGACGACGGACCAGGCCACTCGTTCAGCGCTGGCGATAACGTCGAGGTGTGCCAGGGAGAGTTGATGAACCTGCAGGGTAAAATCCTGTCCATCGACGGTCACCTGATCATGATCCTGCCAAAGCACGAGGACCTGCACGAGCCTCTGGAGTTCCAGGCGTCAGAGTTGAGGAAGCTATTCCGTACCGGGGACCACGTGAAGGTGCTGGCCGGGAGATACGAGGGGGAGACCGGGCTGATAGTGCGAGTGGAGGAGAACAGAGTGGTGTTGTTCTCTGATCTGACCATGCACGAGCTGGAAGTGTTGCCACGAGACTTGCAGCTGTGCTCGGACATGGCTACTGGCGTGGACAGCCTGGGACAGTTCCAGTGGGGCGACCTGGTGCAGCTAGAGTGAGTTACCATTTTGTACCATTGACTTTGGATACTGAAGTAGACATCCCATTGATATGAACCAGATGTGGCCTGTTTTTGTTCAAAAGAACATAGTTGAATGAGCCTATCACTGCAGTCTAAAATTATATTTTCTGCCCTAGACTTTGCTAACTGAGCTGACATTAAAGATGCTATAGTTTGTTTATAATAAGTTGTCTTTGAAGAATCCTTGGAGCCTAGATGTTCTAACTCTTAAAAAAAATTAAAGAACAACCAAAGAAAGTTTCTAATCCCGCAGTTTACTAGATATTTAAATTACAATCACTCTGGTGTTTGAACAAATATTTTGAGATAATAATAACTCTACAGCAGCTGTTTGAAATCATCCAAGATAGCTGCTAGCCTCCAAGGACTCTTGTGACAAATCAACAATTCACATCACTATACTGTGTCAATGGTTCAATTCAACTTCCATTTTGTTTCAAAAACTCGCGTCAATGTTGAATTCATAATTTTGTAAATTGTTACATTTTTAATTAAAAATTCTTTTAATCCTACTAAAGTCAACAACTGATAAATTTATAATAAGCAAATGGAATCAATCTAGTTTTGATTTGCTGGTGCATCATTTTCATCTTGTTAATACAGAAAGTTAATACTAAACTACAAACACCATGTCAAGTAATATAAAAAAATGTATGTGAGCCGATTGTTACAACTTTACTTTTGTTCATGATGCTGATTAATTGCTTGGTTTTCCATGTTTGTAGTGTCCAAAATGTCGGTGTCATAGTGAGGTTAGAGAGAGAAAACTTCCACGTTCTCAGTATGCAAGGCAAGGTAAGAAACTCTGGTGTTAGCCTATACTTTAATGAGAACTTCAAAACTCAAATTCTCTGACCATAGCCTGTAACTAAAGATAGAAAGACCTGTCTACATTTTTCTAAATTCCTTTACAGCTGTGTAGCTTATTGCTCGTCCAACTATCAGGAGGTAAGAAGTGAAGTAGCTTTGAAAAAAACCTGAATTTCGAAACAAAATAATCTAGCTGTCCATGATTATTGGGTTTTTAATGACAGGTGGCTGAAGAAACGTCTTCTGTTTCTTAAACTAATCAAGGCATCTCACTCCATTCTATAGGCTATACTCTTCTCACACTCGTATTCAGTTTAAAATATGGTACCAAAAGTGCACATTGCTGTCTTAATAAAATAATAAATAATATATCTGCTTTTCACTGAGCCAAAGTCATTACCAAACAAATTCATACAATCACAAACATTTCTGAGACTTGTGCATGTGTACAAAAAACTGTAATCTTGTTCATATTATGCATTGACAAACTAGAATATAAGATTGGATTTGATTTTCTGATGTTAAATATTCAATTGCTGTAACAGGTTGTGGAGGCCAAACCACAAGCACTACACAAGAAGAAGGAGGTTAGACACACCGTGTCTCTGGACTCTGAACAGAACACTATACAGAGGAGAGACATTGTCAACGTCATCGACGGGCCTCACTCTGTGAGTCACTGGATGCACGGTTTATTGATTGAGACGTAAAATAGTTCAAGGCCTAGTTACCTAACTTGTGTAACATGTATGTGCATGGATTAAACCGTACTTGAAAATGCTACATATTACAGGATGGTTAGTTTTTAGCTAAGAAAACAAGTACTGTAGACTCTCAGTAATCCGGCAGATATAGGACCGTGATACTGCCAAATTACTGGAATGACATCAATAAAAACACTTATAATGCATAAAACAATGGCCAATCAATACTTAGTTTTGAATCTTAAACTCACCAATCGAATCTCAAAGCCAAACCTTTCCAAAGTTATAACCAAATCTTTCAGCATTTCAAAACGTTTATTGGTTAACGTTTACGTGGTTATTATCTAAGTTTCCTGGGAGAATCACTGTCAGCATTTAAACGTCTCTAAGACATTCACCTTTCATACAACTTTAAACCCAAATAGCAATATTGAGGAAGACCTGAAGATATATGGGCTGGATTCACAAAAATGATAGATGCACTGTAGATTAAAAACTAGAACCTAGAACAAATTCCTAACCACATACTTTTTCTGATTTTACCTTTACATAGGTTAAATTGATTACAATGTCTTGTTTGCAGGGTAGGGATGGAGAAATCAAACACCTGTACCGTAACTTTGCCTTCCTGTACTCCAGAATGTATCTTGATAACGGAGGCATATTTGTCTGCAAGACTCGACATCTTCATCTGGCTGGTGGTTCAAAGGTATTGGGCAGTAATATATCCCAAGGAATATGAATTCAAATTAATTTTATCCTCTACTATATAGGTGTATTTTAAACAAGCATTTAAGCCTATAAATTGTAAGGACTTCTTTCGTATTTTATTTGCCTTCTAGTAACATTTTGTGAAGTTACTCTTAAACCCTTGTCATGCTACAGCGCCATGATTTAGTTCTTAAGTTAAATGTATAAGGTATGTTTGTTCTATTATTTCTATTGTTTGTTAGGCATAAATTAGTAAATAACCTTTTTCCTGTATAAAACAAGTTGTCATATAAATTTTAGTCATGTGTTTTTACTGGGATAGCTGGTTTATCTTGATGGAAAAGTGTCAGTGACAATGAACAATGATTGTGTACAGATGTACAAGAATCAGGATGGGCTCTTTCCCCTTCAGTAAGGCCTGTTATTCCAACAACAATCTTAAAACTTGGCCCGCTTCTCCTATTATGCCAGTTATGTGTTTGCTTAAAAATCTCTTACTAAAAAGATAATTACAGCAGACTCACTTGAAAACATTTTGTAGGGTAAAATTTTTACTTGAATACTTAAAAGTTGTTATCACAGAATGTTTATGTTCGCAGAACCAGAACAACACAGGACTGATGCCAGGGTTCATGTCGCCTCGTATCTCCTCCCCCATGCACCCCAGTGGAGGTGGTGGGGCTGCTGGAGGTGGTGGGAGGGGGAGGGGCAGAGGTGGAGGGGGGGTCAGGAGGGACAGAGATCTCATTGGACAGATCATCAAGATCACCAGAGGCCCTTACAAAGGTGAGGCTTGTGGCTCGTAACCCCTTAACCGCCGTCTAAGTAGCCTAGTCAAAATCCGCCATTGCCACTTATTTTTGCCGTTTTTTGACGATTTTTACTTGTGATTTAAAAAATTGTACCAGTTGTTTTTTTAAAGAAAATAGTTATCAATATTGTTTGTAGACATCTTCAAAAACATTAAGCTTTAACAATACTAAAATTTGAGATTGGGGGGGGGGGTGGGGTTCGGGGGTTTCTTGAGTTAGGCCTATAATAAAAATTAGGCCTACAATAAAGTCTACAACTCTAATAAATCGTCATCCTCAAGCATGTCACCAGCCATTATGACTAATATTTACTACTCATTCAACACTACCAAGTAAACAACCACCAAAAATCACAATTATAATGACACGCATAATGTACGTAAGCATTACGGAAGCTTTCGCAAGCACGAGTTTTACTGAAACAACAACGGAACTGATCGGGACCATTACTGACCTATAATACCACTAAAATCCACCAGATTGCAGCACTAGTCAAGCAGCACTGTCAACAACTTGTTTACGTACGTTATGTATATCAGAGATAAGGCGGGAAGTGAGCTGTTAAAAATAAAACACAACAGCTGATTACGTCAACACGAGATAACTCGTACGTGGCGGTTGCTCTGAAAACTAGTATCGCCCGGCATATCTCGTGCGTGGCGGTTAAGGGGTTAATGCCTAAACATCTAAACAAAGTAGACCTTGTAACTAGTTTAAATATTTTTGTGTTTTAGTTTTAAGCCTAAAAACAACTTTGACTGAATCATATTTTACGATGTTTTTTTTCAACTGTGTGCATCCCTTTACATGGTTTCTATGTTAGTAAATGCACGAATGAATAAGGAAAACCTGTCCTTTTTATCACCAATTACAGCTTAATCTTGTATAATTAACTAAGGTTTGATTATAATATCTGTTATGTATTGTTGTAATTGTTTCAGATTATTTAAGTGTCATCATAAAACTTTAACATTTTACTACTTTCCTCTCCCTTAAAGAGGGGGAATATCAAATTATTTATTTTGTGGAATTTTGTATGTTATATAAACTGCTTAGAACTCTTTTCATAGTTAAATTAGTTGTGTATCAATTCTTTCTTCCCCAATTTATTCCTAAGGTAGATGCTATTCCTCGAAAGATCATAAAATAGGTTTAGTAACTAGAACTGATTAGCCAGTTTTGTAAATCAACTAACAACATACAATTCCCATCTCTTCAGGAAATGTTGGAATGGTCAAAGATGCCACAGAGTCCACGGCTAGAGTGGAACTTCATTCATCTTGTCAGACAATATCCGTTGACAGATCTCACATCGCAACTGTCGGAATGCCTAACAAGGTATGCCAGAGTGTTACCATTTATGAAGTGTTCTGTTTTATCCACAACTGAAACTTTTTACCTGAGGCCTAAGCTCTCTGATTGGTTTCATTTAAGTAAGATGTTAAAGCTACAGAGAGCATTTTTTTGGGTAAGACTCTGAGTATAGTGTAGAGTTTAAATTATAGTGCCTTGTCTTGAGCACCCACAAAAACAACACAGTATTGCCAACCTCATCTGTCAAACTAATCACAACAGGTTAAAATATATTATCCTTAACATTTTATATCTATGACACTTAAGGCATGTAGCCTTTCAAAACCAATTAAAGTTTTTTTTTAGTTCAAAGATTTGTTGAAGCAAGATTATTACAGAAAAACACTTGTCTCTTATCTTGTCAGCAGTGGAGTGGGTCATAGCTCAGGGTATTATTTTGAATCTCATATAAATAGCTTGTCATCTAGATTCTAATTGTAATTTGAATACTTAACACGTTTCCTGAACAAGCATTCCAAAAAGTTTATGGGGATGAAATTTATTTTCAGTACTCGGCTTGATTCTAATATTCCCAGTCCTAAAAGCAATGTTTTCCTTAGGATGGCTCCATCTCCAGCTACAACCGCACTCCTGGCTATGGTGGTGCGGCCACTCCAATGTACGGACGAGACGGCAGCAAGACTCCCATGCACGGCTCTCAGACACCTCTGTACGAAGGTAAACAAACACAAGTTTTCAATCTTCATTAGAATATCACATTTTCAATCACATTTTTTTATTACTAGAGTTTTAAGTTAAGATGAGTTGAATATCATTTAGTATCTTGAATTCAACTCAGAGAGAAATTTTGTTTTCAGTACCAACTGGCGTGTCAATTCAGAATTTCTTGAAACTAGTTGGTTACATTTAATATTTTGATGTGGATTGACTTTTTGAGGGACCTTGATATTTATTCATCGTGAATGACACATATGTGTAAACAGTATATTTTCATATTATATTCTTGTTCTGCCGTCAGCTGGATCACGTACGCCGCACTACGGGAGCATGACCCCGTCCCACGACGGGTCACGTACACCTGGAGCTTGGGACCCCACCATCACCAACACACCTGCTCGCACTGACCCGGACAACTACAGTCTGGACGAGTTTGGTGGTCACCCGAGCACTGGACCGTATACTCCACAGACCCCGGGGGCGATGTATGGTAGTGACCAGAGCTACTCTCCCTACCATGCTAGTCCATCCCCTACTGGCTACCATAGTGAGTAACACCAACAGTATGCCTACTTCTCTCAATCTTGATAGACCACTATTAGGTTTGCTTTCTGATAGTTATCACGCAGATAAATAAACTACAGTTTTTGGCTTAAAATTTGTTCCATCCGACTTTAAAAATAGCTTAATTTTTAGTAGGGATGGACGGGTCCCGAAATTTCGGGAATTTTTCGGGAAAAAAATATTCCCGATTATCGGGACGGGATTACATTTGACTCGGGAATTTTTCGGGACGGGATTTGGTCCGATCGTCGGCGATTTTTCCGCTTCGCGATTGCCGATAACGCCGTTATTGCGAGCGATAGGTCCGCGAACGCAGGAGACGAAGTCATACCGACGATCGCGCCGTGACCGCGGAGTCCTACCGACGATCGCGCCGTGACCGCGAGTCATACCGACGATCGCGCCGTGACCGCGAGTCATGAGATCGCGCCGTGACCGCGAGTCATGAGATCGCGCCGTGACCGCGGAGTCATGCTGACGATCGAGCCGTGATCGCGAGTCATACCGACGATCGCGCCGTGACCGCAAGTCATACCGACGATCATGCCGTGACCGCGAGTCATGACGACGATCGCGCCGTGACCGCGGAGTCAAACTGACGATCGAGCCGTGATCGCGAGTCATACCGACGATCGCGCCGTGACCGCGAGTCATACCGACGATAACCCCGTGACCGCGGAGTCATACCGACGTTCGCGCCGTGACCGCGAGTCATACCGACGATAGCGCTGTGACCGCGAGGCATACCGACGATCGCGCCGAGACCGCGAGTCATGGCGACGAAAGCGCCGTGACCGCGGAGTCATGCTGACGATCGAGCCGTGTTCGCGAGTCATACCAACGATCATGCCGTGACCGCGAGTCATACCGACGATAACCCCGTGACCGCGGAGTCATACCGACGATCGCGCCGTGACCGCGAGGCATACCGACGATCGCGCCGAGACCGCGAGTCATGGCGACGAAAGCGCCGTGACCGCGGAGTCATGCTGACGATCGAGCCGTGTTCGCGAGTCATACCAACGATCATGCCGTGACCGCGAGTCATACCGACGATAACCCCGTGACCGCGGAGTCATACCGACGATCGCGCCGTGACCGCGGAGTCCTACCGACGATCGCGCCGTGACCGCGAGTCATGACGACGATCGCGTCGTGACCGCGAGTCATACCGACGATCGCGCCGTGATCGCGAGTCATGACGACGATCTCGCCGTGACCATGAGTCATACAGACGATCACCCCGTGACCCGCGAGTCACAAGTTACTATAGGTACCTGTAAATTGTTACCCATTTTTTGGTTTTTATAGATCAGTGCCACAAATGGTAAAAATTGATTTCGTATGTCTTTTTTTTGGTAACTGCAATACAGTACTGTCTTTTTATGCACAGAAAAAAATCCCGTCCCGTCCCGTCCCGAAAATTGGGAAGGAAATAAAAATCCCGTCCCGTCCCGTCCCGAACTAAAAATTCAATCCCGTCCATCCCTAATTTTTAGGTTAGAATTTATTCTCTATACAGTAGAACCCTCCTTAACAGACCTCGCAATAACCGATAATTGGATTATCAGTCCTTGCTTGTAAAATATTATTGTTTTGAGAGCAGTTCGGTTTAACCGCCACTTTCTAGAAATCTTTTGGTATATCCGCTCTCACGCTCCTTGATGGGAACAATATGTTGAATTCAACAGGATATTACAGGGTAAGTTTTTAGGGATGGCTGTTTTAAACAACCTTTTGAGTTATCCGACCTAGGTCCGGTCCCGTTAGGGTTGGTTAAGGGTCTACTGTATTTAGCTAAGAATCTATGCTTAGATGATTTTATATAGAGTACTTGGTTTGTCAAAATGTTTTATAATTCCATAATCAATAAATAACATTGAAACAAATAGTGATGGTCGGATCCGGATATCGGACAACCGGATCCGCCGGATCCGAGCTAGAACCGGCACCGGATCGGATCCAAAAATTCCGGATCTTGGGCTGGATCCGGTTTTGATGGATCCGATTTTTGAAATTTTTTCCCGATTTTTTTCCTAACACAATGCTGTCTGTATCACTGTACAACCCCGATTTTTTTACCAACACAAAGCAGTCTGTATCACTGTACAACCCCGATTTGTTTACTAACATAAAGCTGTCTGTATCACAGTACAACCCCGATTTTTTTACTAACACAAAGCTGTCTGTATCACTGTACAACCACGATTTTTTTACTAGCACAAAGCTGTCTGTATCACTCTACGACCCCGATTTTTTTACCAACACAAAGCAGTCTGTATCACTGTACAACCCCGATTTGTTTACTAACATAAAGCTGTCTGTATCACAGTACAACCCCGATTTTTTTACTAACACAAAGCTGTCTGTATCACTGTACAACCACGATTTTTTTACTAGCACAAAGCTGTCTGTATCACTGTACAACACCGATTTGTTTACTAAAATAAAGCTGTCTGTATCACTGTACAACTCCGATTTGTTTACTAAAATAAAGCTGCCTGTATCACTGTACAACCCCGATTTTTTTACTAACACAAAGCTGTCTGTATCACTGTACAACTCCGATTTGTTTACTAAAATAAAGCTGTCTGTATCACTGTACAACACCGATTTTTTTACTAACACAAAGCTGTCTGTATCACTGTACAACCACGATTTTTTTACTAGCACAAAGCTGTCTGTATCACTGTACAACACCGATTTGTTTACTAAAATAAAGCTGTCTGTATCACTGTACAACCTCGATTTGTTTACTAACATAAAGCTGTCTGTATCACTGTACAACCCCGATTTTTTTACTAACACAAAGCTGCCTGTATCACTGTACAACCCCGATTTGTTTACCAACATTAAGCTGTCTGTATCCATGTAAGAGACCGATTTCCCCCCCGATCTGTTTACTAGCACAAAGCTGTCTGTATCACTCTACGACCCCGATTTTTTTACCAACACAAAGCAGTCTGTATCACTGTACAACCCCGATTTGTTTACTAACATAAAGCTGTCTGTATCACAGTACAACCCCGATTTTTTTACTAACACAAAGCTGTCTGTATCACTGTACAACCACGATTTTTTTACTAGCACAAAGCTGTCTGTATCACTGTACAACACCGATTTGTTTACTAAAATAAAGCTGTCTGTATCACTGTACAACTCCGATTTGTTTACTAAAATAAAGCTGCCTGTATCACTGTACAACCCCGATTTTTTTACTAACACAAAGCTGTCTGTATCACTGTACAACCTCGATTTGTTTACTAACATAAAGCTGTCTGTATCACTGTACAACCCCGATTTTTTTACTAACACAAAGCTGCCTGTATCACTGTACAACCCCGATTTGTTTACCAACATTAAGCTGTCTGTATCCATGTACAAGACCGTTTTTCCCCCGAGTGTTTGTCTCTTGATGCAAATAACTTATATGGCAAGGCCATGACTCAGTGTTTGTCTTTTGATGCAAATAACTTATATGGCTAGGCCATGTCTCGGTGTTTGTATCTATATGCAAATAACTTGTATGGCAAGGCCATGTCGCGATGTTTGTCTCTAGATGCAAATAACTTATATGGCTAGGCCATGTCTCGATGTTTGTCTCTAGATGCAAATAACTTATATGGCTATTCTATGTCTCGATGTTTGTCTCTAGATGCAAATAACTTATATGGCTAGACCATGTATCAATGTTTGTCTCTAGATGCAAATAACTTATATGGCTATTCCATGTCTCGATGATTGTCTCTAGATGCAAATAACTTATATGGCTAGGCCATTCCTCGATGTTTGTCTCTAGATGCAAATAACTTGTATGGCAAGGCCATGTCTCGATGTTTGTCTCTAGATGCAAATAACTTATATGGCTAGGCCATGTCTCGATGTTTGTCTCTAGATGCAAATAACTTATATGGCTCGATGTTTGTCTCTAGATGCAAATAACTCATATGGCAAGGCCATGACTCAGTGTTTGTCCCTTGATGCAAATAACTTATATGGCAAGGCCATGACTCAGTGTTTGTCTTTTGATGCAAATAACTTATATGGCTAGGCCATGTCTCGATGTTTGTATCTATATGCAAATAACTTGTATGGCAAGGCCATGTCGCGATGTTTGTCTTTAGATGCAAATAACTTATATGGCTAGGCCATGTCTCGATGTTTGTCTCTAGATGCAAATAACTTATATGGCTATTCCATGTCTCGATGTTTGTCTCTAGATGCAAATAACTTATATGGCTATTCCATGTCTCGATGATTGTCTCTAGATGCAAATAACTTATATGGCTAGGCCATTCCTCGATGTTTGTCTCTAGATGCAAATAACTTATATGGCTCGATGTTTGTCTCTAGATTCAAATAACTCATATGGCAAGGCCATGACTCAGTGTTTGTCTAATGATGCAAATAACTTATATGGCAAGGCCATGTCTCAGTGTTTGTCTCTTGATGCAAATAACTTATATGGCTAGGCCATGTCTCGATGTTTGTCTCTAGATGCAAATAACTTGTATGGCAAGGCCATGTCTCGATGTTTGTCTCTAGATGCAAATAACTTATATGGCTCGATGTTTGTCTCTAGATGCAAATAACTCATATGGCAAGGCCATGACTCAGTGTTTGTCTCTTGATGCAAATAACTTATATGGCAAGGCCATGTCTCAGTGTTTGTCTCTTGATGCAAATAACTTATATGGCAAGGCCATGTCTCGATGTTTGTCTCTAGATGCAAATAACTTGTATGGCAAGGCCATGTCTCGATGTTTGTCTCTAGATGCAAATAACTTATATGGCTAGGCCATGTCTCGATGTTTGTCTCTAGATGCAAATAACTTGTATGGCAAGGCCATGTCTCGATGTTTGTCTCTAGATGCAAATAACTTATATGGCTAGGCCATGTCTCGATGTTTGTCTCTAGATGCAAATAACTTATATGGCTCGATGTTTGTCTCTAGATTCAAATAACTCATATGGCAAGGCCAT